TTTTAGCACAAGCAACATTTGTAACTTTTACTTCATTGACAAAATGGAGCACCAAATATGATCCACTGAAAACTTACATGCATTCTTTTATCTCATTTCTTTGTTCTAACTTTATTGGTGAGATGGGAAAAAGAAATATCCTTCCAAGTTCAAGATTTTTCATTTATGCTGGTTTGCATTTGTGCTGGTTTTGGGGATTTAACCAGCACATAAATTTGCATTTGTGTGGGGTGAAATGTGTTCAAGTACATTAGCTGCAGAATTACTTATATCCGTCTATCAGTGAAAGGTCATTGCACACCTGATATTCCCTTTATGCACATGCAGCAAGGCATGTAGTTGTGTTGTCTCTTTGCCCCTCAGTGGTAAATCCATATGACATTTTTCAAAATGAAATTTTGAAAAATAGGTAATTGAAAAAAATGAATTTTCAAAAAAAAGATTAAATACAGCAGAGTGAAAAAAAATGGAATTTGAATCAAATGTAAACAAAATTAGAGAATTATCAATCATTGACCATGTGTGTTAACTTTCTGTTATTATAATAAATACCTGAGATAATCAACTGATGAAGAGGAAAGTTTATTTTGGCCTACAGTCTTGGAGGTTCCAGTCCATGATCAAGTGGACCACTGCTTTTAGTCTCTTGGTGGGGTGGCAGACATCATGGCAGGAGCATGTGGTGGAGCAAAGCTGCTTACCTCATAGACAAGGAGTAAATGAAAAAGAGGAAGGGGCTGGGGTCCCATTTTTCCTCTTGAGGGTACCCTCCCAATGACTTTCCACTAGGCCCAACCATTTAAAGACTCCACCACCTCCTACAGCACTTCTCTGGAGAACAAACTTTGAACCCATGGGCTTTGGGGAAAATTCAAGATACAAATGATAGCACCATAAGAATAACGATATTGCTGCATTTGAGACTTTAGACCTGCAGCCGAAGGAAATAAGTGAGGGTAAATTACAGACATAAATGAAGAAAGACATTGTGATGAAAAATATATCCCAGAGGAAGTCATGCTGGCAAAAAAAAAAAAACACATTAATAAATCTCTTGGAGATATTTCGGAATATCTGAAAACACAGAAGATAAAATATCTAATATTGATCTTAACTTAGAAAGAAATTTGACAATTTGTAAAAGCATAAAAAAGAAGATCTCCTTGGATTAAGTTGCAGGATGAGAACAGGAGGGTAAAAAACAAGTGTAATTTTTCCCAGTCATTATTAAGATCACTTTGCACGTTTTCAGATTACATAGTTATTTTTATGGTCCTGCGCTACCAAGCAAAAGGAGGATTGCCTGTATAGTAAACCACATGGATGGGAGGGTCATAGTCAGAGGCAACCACAGTTGTCTTCTCAAGGGAGAAAGAAAAAAAAATTATTTCCTGACTACCCATTTGTAATGTCTGAATTTTGTACTCTGAACACATATTACAGACTCAAAAAAA